TTATTATTATTAATAATGTCAATTTCAATTTCAATTGTAGTTGTAAATTGCATTTATAATTGTAATACTTTACGCAGACAAAGAAACCCTTAGTGGTGTCTTTGGTGTGGCAGTTAAGCGCTTCAGTAGCCGTCACACACAGCGCAGGAAACCCGAGTCCGATTCCAGTGAGGGAGTAATTTTTGTCAAGTACCTCGATATACGGTTCTCGGATGAATCATATGTTCATTCAAATGGGCAAACAGATTCTAAGAACCTTATATTTTGGGCTTATCATCCGCCCGATTAAGTTCACGAGCGCCCACTTCACGCAGAGAAGTGCACAGCCAGGGTGGCATTCAGTAGCGCCGGCATAGTGTTGGTCCCTCTGGTTTTTGTTTTAGTAGAGTTTTACGGCACTCGCAACTGAAAAAAGTCATAATCGCGCCAGAAGATTAGAGGTCTTACAAGAGAGAAACAAACATTAAAAAGAAGAAGGGGGGATAAGGACAATAGATGTTTGATAGGAAAGAAGAAGCAAACCACACCAGAGCACCCGCCAACCACCATCACGCTCTGGTTTGAGGAGAACGGCTTGAGTAACAAGTGAACTGTACGTTGCAGCCCTTCAGGAAAGATCTAAAAAGGGGAACAGCTGTAAGAAGTAGCATGACTTCAGAAGGATGGAAGCACACATCATGCAGCTCTTGTATCCCTGACCTGACTCCTTGGACTGAGAGTCATCAGCCGCAAAACGATTTTGTAAATGGTCATGTCACAGCCCGGGCGTGAAACCATTGTACCTTTTTATGAGGGTTCCTTATTGTTAGGGTTTTACTGCCACACCCTCAAGGAACTGATGAGACGAAAGAACATAGCAAATTAAACCATTCGCTGCTTCAACTAGATCTTGTATGAGCGAGTGATTTACAGTTACAGCTTTCCAAAACAAGTGAATGATTGTTGCCGGTTGAAAGAAAAACACGTAGAGCAGATCATTTAAATCTATCGCTTTTATTAAAATGTGTATCTTTACTTTGATGTCATTAATTGTAATACGGTGACAAGGCATTTTATTGAGTATGTGTTACAAATTCTCCACTTTGATTTTTAGGTTTCCCTTTTAAAAAAAAAAAATCAATTATTCGTGCTTTTTTAAAAACACAACCATTTCAAAATGTAGAATTCAATTTGTTTTAAACTTTAAGACACCCTGTCATCATAGTTAAAATTTATAATACTTAAGTTCTGATTTAAAGACTTAAAAAGTATATAGTATAGTTATTTGAATTTTAATGGCAGACATTTTTTGTGGTCATCCCGTACTTAAAGCAGAACGTTTTCGGAACAAAACAAGATGTTTTTACCTACACAGGTGGCAATATCTACAAAAGAATATAAAAAATAATTACTTGTCAATCTTCAGGACATTTTTCATGTAGATAGTGAGCCATTTGTCTTTGTAGTGTATATTGTACTATCTCTGCTTCGTGCTATTCGCCAGGCTCGTACTCTCTGGCGATGTCGATCAACTTTACCTTGAAACACGACCTCAACGTGGCTTTGCTGGAGATGAAAGAGAAAGGCACCCTCAAAACACTCCAGAATCGATGGTTCTCAGGGGCTTGTACGGATTTCCTCTTGGATTCGTCCTACAGGGAAAAGGTTGAAGTCCCAAAGTTCTACAAGGTATAAAATTTATTGAAATATATACGATAGCGTCGTACATGAATAGGTTTTTCTCTCTTGTTTTCTTGTCGCTCTTGCTCTTGTTTTTGTTCTTCTTGTTCTTTTTGTTATTGTTGTTGTTGTTGTTTCTATTGTTGTTGTTGTTGTTCTTCTTCTTCTTCTTCTTCTTCTTCTTCTTCTTCTTCTTC